TGCTGGAGCTGCTGGAGGCACTGCTGCTACTGGCGGTGCTGCTGGAGGTGCTGCTGGTGTTGGAGCTGCTGGAGCCGCTGGTCCTGGAGGTGCTCAAACTGGAGGTACTGGAGCTGCTGGGACTGGAGCTGCTGGGACTGGAGCTGCTGAGGGGGTTGGAGCTGGAGTTGCTGAGCGGCCGCGGCCGTACTACGTTCCGCTCCTTCAGCAGGTTCTTGGTCTCCCGCCCTCTACTGGTCCTACTCCTCCCCTACTGAGTCCACCGCCTGTCCAGTCACAGTCACAGTTACAGCCTGCCTCTCCGCTGCCTGCTCCTTCTCCTTACACTGCGCCGACGGGTAGTCTTACTGAGCGTCGTGAGCCTGAGTCTCGTCCTCCGTCGCCTGAGTCTAGTCCAGAGTCGCCTGTGTCGCGTCCAGAGTCGCCTGTCCGGGCTGTCCGCGCTGGTCGTCGTGCTCCGCGTGAGCGTCCTCCTCCTGTCCTTGGCACTCACTATATGACCCTGCGTCCATCCACTGCTCCACAGCGCGTCCCTCTGCCGTCTCCTCCTGCGTCCTCTCTTCCTGACGTTGCTGACCCGCCGTCAGACCTTACTCGTGCTGCCAGTCCTACTGTAGCGCGTCTCCTTGCCACTGTTGTCACTGACCCTACCTTTGAGTGCTTTGCTGCTGCTTTACCTCATCTCGTGTCCATGCTGATTGCCCCTGAGGGAGACCCGGATGCACCAGACATCCCGACCCCACGCTCCTACGCAGAGGCGATGGAGGGTCTCTACTCCTCTCAGTGGCAGACAGCCATGGACGCAGAGATGGCTTCCTGGAAGTCCACAGGCACCTACGTCGACGAGGTTCCCCCACCTGGGGCGAACATCGTCAGTGGCATGTGGATTTTTAGGGTGAAGCGGCCGCCGGGTTCTCCGCCTGTCTTCAAGGCGCGTTACGTTGCACGAGGCTTCAGTCAGCGAGAGGGAGTTGACTTCTTCCAGACCTTCTCCCCGACCCCGAAGATGAACACTCTTCGGGTTCTGCTGCACGTTGCTGCTCAGCGTGACTACGAGCTCCACTGCCTTGACTTCAGCACTGCGTTCCTACAGGGCACCCTGCACGAGGAGATCTGGCTGCGCCGCCCACCTGGCTTCACTGGGTCGTTCCCTCCTGGTACCCAGTGGAGCCTCCGGCGGCCAGTCTACGGTCTCCGCCAGGCACCTCGTGAGTGGCACGACACACTGAGGACTACTCTTGCTGCTCTTGGGTTTGCTCCTTCTACTGCTGACCCGTCGCTGTTTCTACGCACCGACACCACTCTGCCGCCGTTCTACGTTCTCGTGTACGTAGACGACTTGGTCTTTGCTACTGCTGACACTGAGGCACTCGCCCACATGAAGTCGGAGCTGCAGAAGAGACACACGTGCACAGACCTGGGTGAGCTGACAAGCTATCTTGGCTTGCGGATCACCCGGGACAGAGCACAGCGCACCATCACCTTGACTCAGTCACACATGGTGCAGCAGGTCCTTCAGCGCTTCCGCTTCACGTACTCCTCGCCCCAGCCCACTCCTCTGCCTACCGGTCACTCGCTCTCAGCTCTGCCTTCGGATGAGTCCGTAGAGCCGAGTGGCCCGTATCCAGAGCTTGTGGGCTGCCTCATGTACCTGATGACCTGCACTCGACCTGACCTAGCCTACCCTCTTAGCATCCTAGCACGCTATGTCGCTCCTGGCCGTCACAGGAAGGAGCACATGGATGCAGCTAAGAGGGTGTTGCGCTACTTGTGCAGTACGTCGGGCATGGGGCTTGTGCTTGGAGGACGGCGCGACGTTGTCCTCACTGGACACTCAGACGCTTCTTGGGCTGACGACCAGGCTACTCAGTGGTCGTCTCAGGGTTACACCTTCAGCCTTGGCTCTGGCTCAGTTTCTTGGCGTTCTACTCACTCTTCCTCTGTTCTCAGCTCCAGCTGTGAGGCTGAGATCTACGCCACAGCCATGGCTGCCCAGGAGCTTCGCTGGCTCACCTACCTGCTGACCGACCTGGGAGAGCGGCCTCGTTCTCCTCCAGTGCTGTACGTCGACAACAAGGCCGCCCTTGCCTTGTGTCAGGAGCACAGACTGAAGCACAGAACGAAGCACATCGCTCTGCGCTACTTCCTTGCTCGAGAGCTGCAGCAGCGTGGTCAGCTTCGTCTTGCGTACGTGGCCACTCGGGCCAACACTGCTGATGTGTTCACCAAGGCGCTTCAGCCCTTGTGATCATCAGCGTTTCTGTACTGTTCTAGGCCTTGTGCCTACTCTCCCTCACTTTCTCACTCCTTGACTCTGCTTGTACTGTGATCTCTATATATATACCTGCATGCTTGCACTTGCTAGGTTGTGATCACTGTACCTCTTGTTCTATTATCAAACTGCATGTGTACTGGTCTTGTGACCACTTGCTTGTGCTCGGAATTTGTGTGGTTTCCTTGAGATCCACCCTGAGCTTGCTTTGCTTTGCTTTGACTGGTCCGGTGACCCCTTGTTCTCCCCCACTTAGCCTATGGGGGTGTGTCAAACATTGTATGTGTTATATTTGTGTAGGCTATTGTGGGTTAGCCTCTAGGGGGTACAGAACTTTAGGTTTGCCATACTTGTACCCTCATTCTGTTGCTAGTCAATCATTCTCGTTCTCTCTAAGTTTCTAACAGCTCCTCGACTGGCGCCTCAAGGGAACCGCCGTGTCGGTCGGCCGCCTGCAGGAGTGGTCGCGGGAGTTCATAAAGCTTCTGTACCCCGACGTGAACTGGAAAGGAAGCCAGAGGTGGTCGGAGTGCTTTCGGCGGCGATGGAATCTGAGCGTGCGCATGAAGACAAGGGTTGCCCAGAAAACCGCCGCGCGTAAGAATCACCCCGTGTACTTTGCCACGTGTTTCTTGTTTATTTGTACTAACACCCTCCGTATGTGTCCGTCCTCTCTTCCACCGCCGCACAGATGTCGCTGAGCAGTGCAAGAGCTTCTGGCAGTTCGTCCGTGCCAAGCAACGCGAGCGCGGTATCGACACCGCGTGGATCATCAACGCAGACCAGACGCCGCTCTGGCTGGAGATGCCCGCCACCACCACCGTGGAGGAAACGGGTGTTCGCTAGGTGCCTATCAGGAGCGCGGGGTATCAGAAGCAGCGAGTGACCGTGATGTTGGCGTGCTCGGCGGACGGAATGAACCTCAAGCCGTGGGTGTTCTTCAAGTGCAAGACGTTGCCGAAGGGCGATTTCCCGCCCGGTAAGTCATGAGGTCTAGGGTACGTTCGACGCGTTTTTTTCTGAGTTCGAATTCTAACCACCCGATGATGTTTCGTGCAGATGTGGTCGTGGCTTGCCACGAGAACGGGTGGATGGAATCCAAGGGCGTCATTCGCTGGATTGAGGAGTGCGTCAAGCCTTTCTTGAAGCCTCGGTTCGGTCGGCAAGCGAAGAGCTCGATGGTGGTGCTGGATTCTTACCGCGGTCACCTCACCGAAGGGGTGAAGGAGAAGCTCCGCGAGATGAACTGCGTGCCGGCAATCATCCCGTCGGGCTGTACGACGGAGGTACAGCCGCTCGACGTCTCCATCAACAAGAGTTTTAAGGCGTTGGTCCGCCAGCAGTACCAGAGGTGGTTTGAGGCAGAGGGGCAAGAGCAGCTGACGGTAGCAGGTATGGCATGAACAAAGTATTGCTTTACCCCCCAAAGTCCTTGTTGTTGCACTAACGGCTTTCCACCGTTCTCCCGTAATGTTTCAGGAAACCTCAAGAAGCCTCCACCTGAGGTCGTCCTGAGGTGGATATCTCAGGCCTGGAAGGCAGTGCCGGCCGACCTCATCAAGCGCGCCTTCCTCACCTGTGGCATCAGCAACGCGCTTGACGGCAGTGAGGACGGACTCGCCATGGCGCACAGGCGGAGCCAGCTGACAGCGGAAGTGGATGTCGACGATGACTTCATCACTGATGGATTTTTTTGGCAACAACTGCCAGGAGCCCGAATCTGACGAGGAGGAGTAGCAGGGGTACTGGAAGATCCTTGTTAGGCGGAAGTACCCCGGTTTAACTTGTTAGGAGATCTATGATAATTTGATGTTGTAGTTGCTAAGAAAATGTGACATTTTAGTGATTTCTTTGTAGTGCCTCCAATTAAAGTTGAAGGGATGCGCTTATAATCAGGACAGGCACAACAGGGGGTGCGCTTATAATCGAAATCCGGCCATAAGCGCCATGCTCCAGATAGAGGCGCCGGCGCCTATAATCGGACGGCGCCTATATCCGGGTTGATACGGTAGTTACCGTATTTACCCGGGTAATAAACCCGGGGGTCTAATCCTACCCCAGGAAAAAAAGGGGGGTGGGTCTATTAAGTGGGTGTAAATTTAATAGACCCGGGGTCTAATCCTATGTGCCTTTATAATTTCTAAGTCATGTAAAATACCAGTGTTCCAGCCCCAGAAACGAGAATTCCAATGTTGCGTCATGGAAATTTTGACCACAGCCTGACGCGAGGCACGCGCGCGTCAGATTCTGCAGTCAAGTCAGTCAAATTTCGCTACAGCAAGCTGTCCCTTCTCACAGTCTCACTAAAAATAGAAGTATATACAGTGAGGGGGGTCTAATCCGGATTCGTTAAACAAAAGGGGGTCTATTACGGTATTATATTTTGACACAAAGCTGACGTTCATTAATAACGTGATAAGTACTGTATCTGTAGCACATTGATGCGGATGTGCCTTGCAAATCATTCTGTTGTCAACTCAATATTATTCATCATTTAGAAAGCGTGGCGATGCTTTTTATGCAAGATCATTTCTACACGGGAAAAATCGGTAAGTAGATAACTCAATGCCTTGAGGAGATGCAGCCCTTCCCCCTCTGCAGAATACCCAAGTCTCACAACAGCTGCTGCCACCTGCTGTGACTGAATCACCTCCTCTTCGCATCCACCATCCCCCACCACACACCATTGCCACTGCTGCTGCTTCAGTTTCCTCCACATTCCTCACTGCTACACCTGCTGCTTATGTTGCTGCTCGTGCTCTTGCCAAATAAAGGGGGCGAGCCGCAGAGCATCCTGAAGAGCACGATGACACACTTCACACACTGCATTCACGATCGTACAACTCAGAAAATACTCTGGAGCCATGGAAAATGGTGTACCCACCACCTCGAGAAAAGGAACACCCTGAGTGAGCCTAGCAGCCACACCAGAATCGATCAGCCTGGATCTGCAGCAATTCGCCTTCTTCAGTATTCTCCTTATTAGCATGATTCGATAGAAGGATGTTCTTGGGTTTGATGTCTCGGTGCACGATTCTGTGCGAGTGGCAGTGCTGCAAGGCCGGCATGAGAAATTTGGCAGCGTGCTTGATCTAAAAGATCTTGTTGAGCCCTTGAGTTCCTCTGCAAATGCCACCTCATTGCGCACTGCTTCCACGTCAGCAGCGCTCTGCACAGTTGGGGTAGGCATGAGGCAGGAGGTACGGCAGAAAGCAGAGGAGAACACAGGCGCCAAAGATGAAGACAGAAGCAGAAAAGAATTGGGTTAAGGGCAAAGCAGACAGGAGGAAAACAAAGCAGGGAGTTCAGAGCAGGGAGAACAGAGCAGGGAGTTCAGAGCAGGGATTTCAGGGTAGGGAGTTCAGGGTAGGGAGACTAGGGCAGGGGAGATCCCCATGGCACAGAGAACACACCTGGAACGCAGCCTTCCAGATGCTCTTGCAGGCAGCGATCTCGGCTGCATCAGCACCTCCCCCACTTGCACCTCCTCTCGTCTGCTGTTGTGGTTGCGAGTCCACAAACAGTTGTTTTCCAAGGCTCAACCGAGGCTGCAGACTCGGATTCTGAGTCAAGAGCTGGCTCTGAGGGTCGGAATCTGAGGCTGGCGTCATGAGGTGCCGATTGAGAGCTGTCGGCGCATCCAGTCAGTGAATAGGCTGCGTTGACTGCATTGACTGCATTCACTGCATCTACTCTGTTAATGATTCTAGACGTTGTAAGCATGGACTGCGTAGATTGTGTTGACTGCGTTGACTTGGTTGACTTGGCTTGCACGGTTGACTTGAGGGAATGCGGGCGAAAGGAGCTTCTGAGGAGCATCATCGAACCACTGCTGCATCAGCCGCTGCCGCTGCTTCTGCCCCAGCACTCTTGGTGCGGCGGCAGTGTTTTGAACCATTGACGCCGCTTCCTTCATCCAATCCTGGAGTGCCACATCAGCTACCGCAGTAGTACCACTAGTAGCCGCTCCGCTTTCAACGGAAGATTCGCAGGGAAACGCGGGGAGCGGCTCTCTGTTGTTTGCGCTGAATCGCATGGAATTGGAATTGGAATTGGACGGCCGCGGAATGGGGTCAGCGGCGAAACGAGACATCGGGCATGCGGAGGCGGAAGGGGAGGCGGAAGAGGAGGCGGAAGGGGAGGCGGAAGGGGAGGCGCGGAAGTGGAGAGTGGTCGTGGGGCTCCAGCTCGTGGCGCCATCCAGATGTGACGTGGTGGCGCCGCAGGTGGTGACGCCGCAGTAAGCGCCGTCACAGCCGGTGGCGGCGTTGAGCTGAGTCTCCAAGACACTTCCCGGATTCAGCGGCAATGCCGCGCCGCGGCCCAGCCAATGCCGACTCCCGCCGCCGACGGGAGTGGGGTTTGCGCGAGCTCGCTGCGTCGCGGCGCAGGTCGACGGCGTGCGATGCGGCGTGGACGACATGATCCTAATATTGACGTGATCGCTAGTCGAACCGGCGCGTGATCGCGAAGCGGAACAGGGCTTGAGCTGCGACCGTCGCAGCTGTGGGGTTGAATCCGTGAACCGACTCAGAAAGAAAGCGTTCTGGAATTCGCGTTCGCGGCGAGTGCATTCATAGTGGCATTCGAGGTATGCCGATGCCGCGGCAGGGGGTGAATGCCACGAAGAAAAATCCCATTCCTCTTGTCGTGGAAGGGCCGAGGTGCATCGAGGGATCTGATCTGAGGGAGGAATGCCCTCAGCGGCAAGTTATCAATGTGCGCTGGACCGTAACTGACGGTTACAGATGGGGATTCGCGTAAGTGATGAGATATGCGAGGGACGTGAGAGGGGCGGGGAAGCACGGGGGCGGGGGCGGCCGCGGAGGAAGAGATATATATTTCCCTCCCCCACCCCCCCCAAAAATATCCCCGCGGGATATTTACCCGCACATACTATGTGACGCACGACTCGCGGGGGTGGGACTGGCGAGCAAAAATCGGCGGAGCAATGATCAGCGGAGCAATTACTAAGGGTACTATTGGCGGAGCATTATCAGCATTCGTGCCAAGACACGCCACGTCACCCGGCTTTGACGAGTCACCTTGACGAGTCGCGTCGTCTAATCAGCCTGTGGCGAAGAATCGGACGGAGTAGGAGTCTCGGGCTACTGTAGTACCGTGCAGTGCAGAGACTGCGTTCAACACACGTGTATTGCCACGTCGCGCGAAATATCCTCGAAGTGAGGTCGCAATAGTATCATAGCGCGAGATCGTGATCCGCGGTCTTCTAGTAGTCAAGTGGTGCTTCGAGCCAGCGATGCGAAGGGACTGCGAAGTAAGCGAGCTGCCTACTACCACTGCCAGTGGAAGACGTGCATGACTAAGTGCTATGAGGGTACTACCACTACTAAGCGCGGAACTTGAAATTAGCACGAAGAACTAGTAGCATGTAGTACCACAACGCTTGGTACACACACTGCTTTCGCGAAAGTGCTACTGGGTGTGCCCGTGTAAGTGCCACTAAGTGTTGACTACGCTTTGCGAGGCCAACGTGGACGAGGAAAAGAAAAGAAGCGTACCAGTTATGCATTTCCACAGCTTTCCTATCTTTCGCGCTCGGAACGGGATCTGCAGAGAAATTCACGGGTGCGAAGCGAATGGCCTTGCTGGCGCGCTGTACTGAACTGCTGTGGCACTCCGTGACGGGATTCTTGAGACAGTTCTGTATCTGTGGTGACAGCAACCTATCTTCCCTTACACGTGTTCGAGAGTATACTGTAACGGGGAGTGCAACTCGCCTGCAATGCCGCTGCTTGCCTGTTGGAAGGGAATGTGGTGGTGGAGTGTGTTATGAGTTGTACGAAAGAAGAGTGCGCACTATTCAATAACGCGGAAGTGATTACAACTACTGAGCAAACAACGAGGCCTATGCATAATATAGCAAGGCTAGCTAGGCCGAGGTCGCGGAGTCGCGCGAAGGTCGGGTGTAGGTTTGGGGTTGGGAAACCCGAAGGCGTCGCGGAGGACGTTCGGAAGGCGAGGTCAGCGGACCGAGCCTGAACTCCAGACTTGTACGCGTACGGAGTGCCTCAGTAAGGAATTAGGAAAATTCCTTACATTACCCCCCCCCCCCCCCTTTAAGAAAGGTGGTCAATATCGGGCACGCGTCGGCGGGAAAGATAATCCCGGAGTACCGAGTGGCCCTGTAGTGAGTCAGCCGGGACCCACGTGTCATCGTCACTTGTGCGATCCACCCATCGCAGGAGGAAATCAACGTGGCGTCCAGCTGGGGTCGCACGAATGCGATGATTCAAAATCTTCCAGGCCTGGAGTGTCGGGTCTGCGACGGGCCGGACACTTGGCGCGATGTTAGGTCGTGCAACGTCGGACGGCTGCGGAGCCACGTAGTGACGAAGCAAACTGACGTGGAAGGCGTCGTGGATCTTCCAGTCGTCTGGTAGCAAAAGTTTTGCTGTGACCGGGGTTAGCATCCGAATGATGCGGAAAGGTCCCACGTATCGGGGACGCAGTTTTGCAGGTTGGGGCAGTCGAAGGTTTTTTTTGTCCAGAATTACCATCTGCCCGTCACGGAAGGGTAAGTTCCGTCGATGTCTGTCAGCATAGCGGCTGGCAACGGTGTTAGCCTTTCGAATAAATTCCGCTGCTTTGTCGCGAGCTGCTTGAAGTTCCGAAACGAATTGCTGCGACCGTGGTACAGGGTTGTCGGGGGTCGTTGAAGAGGGTGAGAACAAACAAGGAATGAATGAACTATGAATGAATTGGGTACAAGTGCTAACCCTAATTGGGTTGTACCCCTTATGGGCTACCCCACTATAGCCTACACAATATGCATGAGCTATAATATTATGACACACCCCCATAGGCAAAGTGGGGGAGAACAAGGGGTCACAAGACCAGTCAAGCAAAGTAAAGCAAAGCAAGCTCAGGGTGGATCACAAAGTCACCACACATTCCGAGCACAAGTTCAAGGCCACAAGGCCAGTTCACATGCAGGAGTACATATATGTATAAAGGCTAGACAAGCAAGAGCAGGTATATATATATGTAACAGCACAAGCAAGGTCAAGAGGTGAGCAAGTGAGGCAAGGTAGGCACAAGGCCCAGCTGAGTACAGAAGCGATGATGGTCACAAGGCGCAAGCGCCTTGGTGAAGATATCAGCAGTGTTGGCCTCAGAGGCCACGTACGCAAGACGCAGCTGACCACGCTGCTGCAGCTCACGAGCAAGAAAGTAGCGGAGAGCAATGTGCTTCGTTCTGTGCTCCAATCGCTGCTCCCGACACAAGGCCAGCATGGCCTTGTTGTCTACGTACAGCACTGGAGGAGAACGAGGCAGCTCTCCGAGGTCAGTCAGCAGGTAGGTGAGCCAGCGAAGCTCCTGTGCAGCCATGGCTCCTGCGTAGATCTCAGCCTCACAACTGGAGCCGAGAACAGAAGACGAGCGGGTAGCCCGCCACGAAACAGAGCCGGAACCAAGGCTGAAGGTGTAACCCTGTGACGACCGCTGCGTAGCCTGGTCGTCAGCCCAAGAAGCGTCTGCGTGCCCAGTAAGGACCACTGGACTCTGCCCTCCAAGCACAAGCCCCATGCCCGACGTACTGCACAAGTAGCGCAACACCCTCTTCGCTGCAGCCATGTGCTCCGGTCTGTGTCTCCCAGGAGCAACATAGCGTGCAAGAATGCTAAGAGGGTATGCAAGGTCAGGTCGTGTGCAGGTCATCAGGTACATGAGGCAGCCAACAAGCTCTGGGTACGGGCCACTCGACTCTACGGACTCATCCGAAGGCAGAGCTGAGAGCGAGTGGCGAGTAGGCAGAGGAGTGGCCTGAGGCGAGGAGTACGTGAAGCCGAAGCGCTGAAGGACCTGCTGCACCATGTGTGACTGAGTCAGGGTAATGGTGCGGCGTGCTCTGTCCCGAGTGATCTGCAAGCCAAGGTAGCTGCGCAGTTCACCCAGGTCAGTGCACGTGTGTCTCTTCTGCAGCTCGGACTTCACGTGGGCTAGTCCAGAAGTGTCAGCTGTGGCAAAGACCAAGTCATCGACGTACACGAGGATGTAGAACGGCGGCAAAGAAGTGTCGGTGCGCAGAAACAGCGACGGGTCGGCAGTAGAGGGAGCAAACCCAAGAGCCGCAAGTGTAGTCCTCAGTGTGTCGTGCCACTCACGCGGTGCCTGGCGGAGACCGTAGACTGGCCGTCGTAGGCTCCACTGGGTGCCAGGAGGAAAAGACCCAGTGAAGCCAGGTGGGCGACGCAGCCAGATCTCCTCGTGCAGGCTGCCCTGCAAGAAAGCAGTGCTGAAGTCAAGAGAGTGTAGCTCGTAGTCACGGTGAGCAGCTACGTGCAGCAGTACCCGAAGAGTGGTCATCTTCGGGGTGGGAGAGAAGGTCTGAAAGTAGTCAACTCCCTGCCGCTGACTGAAGCCACGAGCCACGTAACGCGCCTTGAAGACAGGCGGAGAACCCGGCGGTCGCTTCACCCTGAAAATCCACATGCCACTGACGATGTTCGCCCCAGGAGGGGGAACAGCGTCAACGTAGGTGCCTGTGGACTTCCAGGAAGCCATCTCTGCGTCCATAGCTGCCTGCCACTGAGAGGAGTAGGGACCCTCTATCGCCTCCGCGTAAGAGCGCGGAGTCGGGATGTCAAGTGCATCCGGGTCTCCCTCAGGGGTAAGCAGTACGGACACGAGATGAGGTGAAGCAGCGGCCAAGCACTGGAACTCCTCCTGCCTGTCCTCAAGGACGTCCGTGCCAAGGGCACACTCACCCCCGACGGACGGAGGACAGACAGACTCAGACTCAGCAACAAGACTGGCGACGTAGTCTAGGCGACAGCAAGCAGCAAAGTCGACGAGCTCAGCAACTAGGGCAGACGCAGCAGTGGACTCAAAGGAAGGGTCAGTGACAACAGTAGCAAGGAGACGCGTGACAGTAGGACTGGCAGCACGAAGAGAGTCCGACTCCGGGTCGGCAAGAGCAGGAAGAGAAGACTCAGGAGGAGAAGGCAAAGGGGCACGCAGAGGAGCAGTGGACGGACGCAGAGACATCCGGTGCGTGCCAGGGACAGGAGGAGGACGCTGACGCGAACCGCGACCACTAGTGCGAGCAGCACGGACAGGCGACGCAGGCTCACGACGCTCAGCAAGACCTCCAGTAGGACCAGTGTAGGGAGACGGAGCAGGCAGCGGGGAGGCCGGCTGTAACTGTAACTGCGACGGGACAGGCTGTGGACACTCTAAGGGAGGAGGAGGACCAGTAGAAGGCGGGAGACCAAGAACCTGCTGAAGGAGCGGAACGAAGTACGGCCGAGGCCGCGCGGCGACTCCAGACACAGGAGGGACAGCACCAGCACCCCCAGTGGCAGCACCAGCACCAGTAGCAGCTCCAGCTCCAGAACCCCCAGCAGCACCAGTAGCACCCCCAGCAGGACCGCCTCCAGGACCGACAGCAGTAGCCTC